AGCATTCATCCGTGAGGAAAGCACAGGCACAGGGAGAGAGAGAGAAGAGCATCTATCTTCGATTAACGGCGTGCGTTCACATGTGCACGAACTGCCAATCGTACCCTACGCACCATAATTAATTGCTTTACCCGTCTTTATTTCGCTACAGGTAATATCCTTATGTGTTTTTATGTGTTCGACTATGCCGTACCGTTATTTACGTCTGTCTTTGCATCGCGCTTTTTCCTTTATCTCTTACGTTCGTTCGTCACTTCTTTCTTGCATCCACTCTTGCGTTCGTTATTTAGCTCTTTATGTACTTATTTATGTCTGTGGTTCGCTCTTCGTTCTTGCTTTCTCAATATCTTTCTCTACTTGATTACCTCTGTCTTTCGTGATTTTGTTATTTATGTCGTTGTTCCGTCCTTCCTTTAGTTATTGTGTGTTCTGTCTTTCTTTCGTTCTTTCTTTCTTTATGTAGTTATTTCTGCTTGTTGTTCTTCGTGGCTTTCTTCCCTCGTTCGTTCTTTATTTACGTCTGTTTTGTTCCTTCGCTCTTTGAACGATTACGTGTCTTGCTCACTCACTCACGCACTCACTCAATGCATACACACATTCATTCTTTCGTACATACATACGTTACATTACATTACTTTACATTACATTGCATTGCGTTGCATTGCATTGCTTTGCGTTGCGTTACATTACATTACATTACATTACCCTGTGCTTATAGTTTTCAAGGCTGCTTCGAAGAGCCGCATTTAACCAAGGAGCGCCCGCATTCAACCCGACAGCCCAACCGACACATCAAGCTATGATGCTCATGGATGCGGACGTGTTTAACCTTACACCTCAGCACCACACAAACAGTTTAAGCGGACGCATTTAACCTGACAGTTTGGAAGTGCACCAAAATAGAAGCGGACACATTTAACCCGACAGACGTGTACCCGAAGTGCCAACCCCCAAAAACCCGAGCAAAGTTTGTTTCCCGCACCGTGCGGAGGTGCACCTGGTGCGACGTCAGAAGCGTGAGAGAACCGTGAGTAGTCGTGAGAAGCCTCCCTGGCCACCAAATTAAGAGCGGCTAGAGTCAGAGTGTTTAGCAAAACCGTGAGCAAAGCGTGAGTTATCTTGAGTGGGGGCTTTCCGCAGCCACACGACAAGGGTATAGGGTGGGTTTATGATTTAGTGGATTTGCCGGCTTTGGGGCTTCAAAGCCAGCCGGGTCATTCGGGCTCGTTTGGTTAAACTTGGCTGTTCGTGTCGGCAGGTTTCAAAAGGTAGCCGGAGTAAACTTGGCTGTTCGGGTCGGCAAGTTTCAAAACGTATCCGGGCTGTTCGGATTCCGCTGGGTCTTCAGAGGCATGAGTTTTTTTGAAGGGTTAAAGTTAAACGTGGTCGTTCTAACCGAGTTTTCGAACGCCGAGTTTAACCCGAGGCAAACGTGAGCGCCCTAGTTTTCTGGGGGGTTGGATGCATAGGGTTACATTACATTACATTAAATACATTATATTTGGCATTGCATTACACTACACTACATGACATTAATTACATTGTATACTACATTACATTACATTACAGTACAGTACATTACATTACATACTAAAACCTAAAACTTAACTAATGCATACATAGATAGATACATATGTACGTACGTACATACATACGTACGTACGCACGTACATACGTACGTACGTACAGACATACATATGTACATAATTACTTAATTACTCACTTAGTTTATTGATTAATTGCAGACCCCATACATTTTTTCGAGGAGTTTCACCGAGTGGCAACCTTGCAGTACATGGTTGGGGCTCGTGCAAAGGGCTTCAGCTCCGACATCATGTCCTCTGATCGCTTGCCGCTCACCAGCAGTCGCACCTCGCATGCGATGGAAGTCTGACATGAGCATCGAATATAAGTCTTTGGAGAATCGCACCGTCAGCTCGGCCAGCTTCCCCAGAGCGCTTTCCCCGATGCTCTCCACAAGACCCTCCATCAGCCTCACGCGACTCATCGCGACTCGCATGGCCCTGCAAGGCACAGCACAACGACACCGGCTCACGGCTGCCTGAGTCTCTCCGCCGTCTCCTTCTTCAGACGGGCTTGATCCTGCACAGCATCTACGGATCTACGGCTACCATGATACCGTCTCAGTCAGGATCACGCCTCCGACGAGAGCGCAGAAGGGGAGAAGGTTCGCGCAGGCTTGCTGGGCCTTGACAGCACGTGAGGCCGCGTTCATGGCATCTGATCGTTGAAAACTCCACTGATCTGGGACGCTGGCTGGGAGGAGCCCTGGCCCTCGGCTTCTTTCGAAGGAACCTCCGGCTCCTCCACCTCCTCCGCCTCCTCCACCTCCTCCACCTCCGGCTCGACGGCCTCGGGTTCGGAGGCCACTCCCAGCTCCGTCGCGTCCGCGACCTCGACATGGGAACCCCTCCGGCCCCTCTTATATCGGATGCGACGTGTGGAGAGCGCGCTGGGCCTCGTCGCTGTTCTCTTCCTCGCCTTCCTCCGTTTCCGCCTCCGAACCGGGACCTGTCTGCGTCTGCTCCTTGCCGTTCTCCTGGCGACGGCGAAATGCCCGGAGAGATGCCCGGAGAGATGGGAGATGATGGGAGCCTAAACCCACCTGACCCTGGACCTCTTCCGAGACATTCCGCTTGCTTCTCTTCTTCTTTTTCTTCTTGGTCTTCCCGTTCTCCTCAGGCAGAAGGTTGTCTCCCCTCACGAGGCTGGAGCGGAGCTTGCCTTCTTCGCCTTCTTCTTCTTGCCTTCCTTGGATTCCTCCGTCTTGCGAGGCTTCTCCTCCTCGCTCTCCTCAGACTTCGGGCTCTCCTTTGGGTCCTTCTCGTCCTTGGCGCTCAGCTCCTTCGCCTTGCGGCGGCGCTGGCGCCGCTTCCAGGCCGAGTCCTGAGCGAAGAGCCGCTGCGGCTCAGGGTTTAGGGTTTAGGGTTGGCCTCCGCCTCGGCTGTCTCCGGGTCTTCCGCTTCTCCGCTTTCGGGCAGGTCCGCGATGTGCACGGACCTCGAAACAAAGCCCCAAAGGGCACGTCCAAGGCTCCCTCGGAGAGCTGCTCTTTGAGCTCTTGAGGCTCCCTGCAGGAACTCCTCCGACTCGGGCTCTTTGTAGGCCTCTTCTTGGGCTCTTCAAAGCGCATCGGAATTCCCCAAGCAAAGGGCGGCGCCTCCGCGGACCGGCAGAAGCGGGCCCGGCCGCCCACCTCCAAAACCCTCTTGGAACCACGCAGAGCAGAGGCAGCAACAGAGAAAGAGAGGCGTGAGAGGGGACGGGGGCGGTTTCAGCTGTCTCGCCTTGCTCCGGATGTCTCGGAGGAGCCCCGGAAGGTCCCCGATCCGGTTCTTTCCTCGGCACCGTTCGCTCCCCCATGTCATCTGTGTTTCGTTTTAGGAGGCTCAGGTGCTCGCCCAGGCGGAGAACAAGAGGGTGGATCAAGACGCCGGCGTCGGAACTGCGAGGCGGAGCAGTGGAAAGGTGGGGCGGCGCGATATTCTTGTGTGTTTTGCCGTACTCTATGGATGCATGCGCCCGCCTGGTCTTCCGCGGATAGTTTGGGTGGTTGTAAAGGCAGCGCAGGAAGGAGGAGACCGGATTCTCCTCGCCTGAGCCGGCCTGCTTTGTCCGAGTTAAGAAACCGCCAAAGCAACGGCACAGCAACTCTGCCTCCACAGGAATCTCGTTGTCTGCAAGAGAGATCTCTTGAAACGGCTCCGAGCAGTTCCAGAGATAGGCTTCCAATGCCGCGAGGCCTCATGCGACAACGACAACGAACAGGATGCCGCAGCATAGCACAGTTCATGGCAGGCTGTGGTCTGGCGGTCCGGCCTTTCGTCGCGGCTTTGTTTCCCGTCAAGTCCAAGCATCGTACCTCAAAGTGGCAGCCGGTCGTAGGAGGAAGCCGGTCCCAGGCAGAGCGGTCACTCGAACATGCAGCTGCCGAAGCCGGTCCGCAATGCGGGCGACGCTGTCGTCGGACAGCCCGTTCCTACTTAAATTCTTTGCTTGAGATCTCAGAGATGCTGCGTCGAGCCGAGGCGGTGACAACGAGAGATCCACAGTTCCCAGCTGCCACGGCCTGAACTTACGCTGAGGCCCGGTAAGCTCGCCAGCGTCGCGGCGTCGCGCTTTACGCCTTTACGCTCCTGGACTCCTGGCATGGAGCAGGCTCAGCACGCTGCTGGGCGCCGCTTCGTCCATACTGCCGTGCAAGCCAGGACCTCGTGCGCCGTGCCAGCTCTTGCGTTTTGGGTCCCTGGGAGAAGCCCTCTAAGCCCAAAGCTCGATGCAAAGGAGCAGATCATCAACGTGTCGGTCTTGACCTTGCTCACCCACCAAACAGCACTCTGGGCGATGCAGTGAAACACCCTCCAAGCTCTCCACACATGTTATTGCTGAGGATCACCTCCGTGCCGTTCTTACCCTCCCTGACGTGCTGCTGCACCTCGGATTAGGATCTTCGCCCGCTCCTAAAAAGAGGAACACGTGCCAACCCTCTTTGCAGATCTGAGTGCGATGCGAAGGCCATGTAATTCTCCGGCTTCTCTGTGGCGTAGTCGCGCTGCGCGTACTGGTACCCCTGGTAAGCCTTATGGGCAAGCACAGGCACGCCGCCACGCCTCTCTGGAGCTTAAGGCAAAGCCGGGCGATGTGCCGAATAGCCCGAGTAGTAGGAGCTCTCCTCCGGAGATTCAACGCGCAGCATTTTAAGGGCTCAACAAAGGGTACCCTACGCACCCTCTCTCATCAGCAAAAACCGTGCCGGGCTGGCAGGCCAGGCCTCAGTGCTCAAAAAACAAAAAATCCCCCCCCAAAACAAGGGCAGTTTTGTGGACGATGGCCGAAGCTGAAGTCCTAAGTCCGGGTGCGAGACGTTCCAGCTCCTGTAGCCTCAGCTATGGCGCGGTGTTTTGAGGGGGCTTGTGGCATCGGGTTTCTGGAGCAACGCGCCTGATCCCCAGCCATACAGGGAGTAGGCACTAGCGCCGTAGGCCTCCAAACAAAAAATCCGAGGACGTCGAAAGGAGCGAAAGCTGGTGCCCCGTGCACTTTCGCGCCTCAGAGGTTGCCGAGGCCGAAGCCGACTTGGCTCCTGCTGTTTTCAGATGAAAGTGTCTGCAGAGTCTCAGCCTTCTTACGCAGCCTTCTCCACTCTCGCTCTCTGCCCTTCCTCCCCTTCTTCTGCCTTCCTCTCCTCCCTCTCTCAGCTTCTCTCAGCCTCTCTCAGCTTCTCTCAGCCTCTCTCAGCTCTCTCTCTCTCTCTCTCTCTCTCTCTCTCCAGGGACAGGAGGAGCAAGGGAGACCCCCACCCCTCCGCACGCGAACGCGCACCCGCACGTCCCAGCAGGGTTTTAGAGCATCCCCCCGGGTGATTTTCCCCGGGAGGCTCGGCTATACAAATGCTGCTATGGCTATAGGGATGCCCACTGCCCTCTCTCTCTCTCTCTCTCCTCTTCCCTTCCCTTTCTTTCGCTTCTCGAGGTGTTGGGCTCCTGCCGCGGGGCTCTTGGAGCGGCGCTTGCTCGAGCGGTTCCGGCGCGAGCGGCTGCGGCTCCGCTCCCGGCGCCTTCCACCGCGGGCCTCCAAAGAAGGACAGAAAGAGATGGATATAATACTCTATCTATCTATCTATCTATCTATCTATCTATATATATATATATAGAATACTCTCTCTCTCTCTCCCTCTATATCTATCTATATATATATATATGTATATATATATATAGAATGCACATATAACATTTAATATGAGATATATATATATACAGATATATATATATATATAGATAGATAGATAGATAGATAGATAGGTAGGTAGGTAGATAGATAGATAGATAGATATAGATATATATAGAGAGAGAGACATCTTCTATATCTATATCTATATATATATATATGTATATATATAGTTATTTGGTTAAAGGGTCAAACTCTACCGCTGCGTTTTGGGCAGTTCAGGTACGCCTCTTCGAC